TGGGCTTCTTTTACTGTTAAAGCCATATTTGATACCTTTTTTCACAGAATTTCTGCTGACGCGCTTTTTCAAATTCAAAATAATGACATAAATCAACTTATCATTTGACAGATCGACTCCACCAGATATAAATCTCAATTCCATGGGTTCAAAAATCCGAGGGAACCCGAACGTCAATTCGATATCGACTCGATAGAAACCTAGAATCGATAACTGCTCTCGTGTCGCCTTGGCGAATGTCTCGTATCGACTCGATACGATAGTTTCTTAAAAATCACCAGCTGATGTCGATATGTGTTTTACCGATTATGTACAAAATTTAGTAAACAAGTTGACTTCGCCCGTCTCTTTGAAGTATCAGCGACAGAATTCACGAAATAGACTGGTTTGATATTTTCATTAGTGGAAAATGGCTGATTCAAGTTCTGATTTCCCTAGTAATATCGAGAAAGCAGCACAAAATACACTATTCTCTTCATCCATCCCTGGTGTTGAAATGAATCAATCACCAGTTAAGTAATATTTTACTTTACGCAACTGGTTACGTTAAAGTAAGACGTTCCAAAACTTCCGTCAGTTTTGAAAAGTGTCAAATCACGTCAAAATTGGAAAAAATAATTTTCCATCACTGATAATTACTATATAAAGTTAATAAGAAACACGATATAAATGTCACTATGAGCACAATGAACCACCCAAACTGGAGTAAAATCCAATGGAAGCCACCAAAACTCTTCAATAATCTCAAATTCGCTAATGAAAGACAGGTTAAATGCATAGAAGAAAAAAAAAAACGAGTAATTGAAACTAATCCGGCTCTGATTTGAGTGTACGTCAGAGAAACGGACAGAGGTACACAGTTGTCAGATGAACTCTCCATGAATATCATTGAGTCTATGAATTTTGTCCTGAACATTCTCTGTGATTTTTGTTAAGCTGTTAATTATCAGTTACAAAAAGTTTCATAAGAAATATGAACTACATCCGGATGCATAAATATGACATTTGCGTTTTAACATGTATAGTGTGTCTTAGATAAGAATGCCTATCATGAGGATCTCGGAAATGGTTTCTCCGTAACTGAACGTCGTACGGAAAATCTCTCAATGCTGTTTTGTAGTGCTTAGAAAGTGGCATTGAGAAAGTATCTTTTGTTTTTCTATATCTCTTTGATTAACGCTAAAAAAAATTGAAACAAAATTGTATCCCCTATGGTTTCCGAGATACCCATGATAGACATCCTTATCTTGGACACGGTGTAAAACTGACAATGTTGTCAGCAATGTGCGCATGATCACCGTGCCTTAAGCACACTGGTAGTCTCGGATTTTCTACTAGGCCTTCTAGGTCTTTGAGTTCTACGAGTATATCATTGTTGAAATCACCTACTTTTGATCATATAGCAAAAAAATATGAAATGAATAGGAAGGGGGTGACACCCACTTTGATTGATACCACTGGATAGCATTGATAACAAACTATTTGATGTATCGCGTGTTGGGGTTTTTTAAAGTGTTTGGGATCACGCAAGTGTTTGGGATCACACGTTAAAAGGTAAGGCCCCCGTCATTCCTTGCTCGCACAAGACTTTCGAAGACTTTTGAGGGTTGCTCGTAAGGGGGCAACCGAATGACGGATAGAACAAATTTTAGAACAAATTTTAGAACAAAAAATATTGAAATTATTTGAGTGGCTGTGGTTTAGGGTTGATGCGAGTTTGTTATTTGTGAGCTTTTAGTTGTTATCACCATTTATGTAGCAAACTTCAAATTGTAGATAGGCAATCATATGAATCCTTTTCTTGATGATGAAAATATACAGGGTGTCCCATAAGTAATGGATCAAAAGAAGTGGGGTGGTAGGGATGGTCATTTGTTATCCAACCAACGCTATATGTTGTTATCAAATTGTTGAAGGTTCAAAAGTTATTGAATCTTTCTGAAAAATGCGACCCATTCGAAAAAAATAAATAACTAAAAGACTGTTTAGAATAACCCCATATGTTATACGATTCCGGAATCTGTAAAAATGGGCAACTTTTTCATATAAGTAAGTAAAGTAAGTAAGTAAGTAAATTTATTCAAATCAGATATAACAGATACAGATACGTCTTCAACAGAAGCAAAGCGCAAAATATGATTGGTTAACTTCGTGGGGTACATAGATGAAAACCCAAAGTCATCTCCACAACTTTTATTTAATGATCATAGATCATATAAGGGGTAGTTTTTAAGTCTGCCAGCGGCATTTAAAAATCGACTTGAATATTTCATTCGATGACGAAATTCAAGGAAAACAACATTTTTCTCAGGTAATTGATAAGAAGTAATACATGTCATGAAATTATTGCTGGTGAAAGGTGCATCCATGTGGGTGGAACTTGTTAAAGAAAAAATCACAAATGTGACATAGTTTTATCGTAATTCTTTTCATAGAAATGAAAAAACATTAATAACTTTTGAACGATCAACAATAATTGTTTTGATTAGAAATGACCCCCCCCCCCCTACCACCCCACTTCTTTTGATCCTCGACTTATGGGACACCCTGTATAAGTATTTCAAAGAATCTGTTTTGAATATGGAATAATAAACTGAGTCTCTCCATTCAAATAAGATTGATCTGTAAATCAGAATGCTTATTGAGGACTCCAATGGGGTCCTTTGCTTATAACCAGGTGACACAAACTCATGGTATCCTGTGGTTTTCAGCTGGATTTCTGAAATTTGAAACATCGAATATACTCACGAGAGGGCACTTTCTCACATTTCAGGACATTTGTTTCATCTTCCGGTTTTCCTGGAAATGACATCAACTTTCGATTTTCAAATGGAATACCCTGTTTTTCATTCCATAATCGGTTAGAGATTATTATAATGAATTCAACAATACCAGGTTTGATTGGTTTATTTCAAACGATTACCATGATATTCACGTTCGAAGTTTCCATAAGCTCAATGGGTGCGACGGCGCAATATCGAATCTTTCTCTGTCACACTCATTGAGCTTATGAAAACTTTGAACGAACCATGAACAGTAGCGGCGTTTAAATTCAGTTTTAATTCGTGGCGAAACGTAAACGGATGCCAGTGGCGTATCTTGAAGATGAGATGAAAGTATTATTATATGAATTTACGGAAAATCAGAAGATTACTATAGAATTTCAATTGGAAATTTTGATGATATAAGTTGATAAATACGCTGCTCATTTTCTTGCGCTCTACATGTATGATCTTAGTTTTTGAGAAAGGAATTCACAAATATAAAATATTTTCAAAATAAGCGCATCCCTCATATTATTTTTGCACATTTCATATCATATTCAATTGTCATAGTTCATGGTTCAAATAAGTATCCCATTCCACTGTATCAAATCACTGAGTTCATTACAAAATACTTCTACCACTTCAAATAGAGATTGAAAGGCTATATGCCATTATACACTGATATTCAATTTGTCATTTAATTGTTTATAGAATTCACATTTGAATAACCTTGATTTACTTCATTTTTTATTGTGCTGGCACCTGCAAAGGATGATTTCAATAGGCTGAAAATATAATCTCATTGAAATCACTCATCCCCCAAATCGAATGGCTTTTCCCTTAGACTGATCTCATTAAACTTCTCGAAGAGATTTCAGAATCTATCCCTGATGGATCAAAAACAAAATTTACCAAGTGAAGACAATTTTATTACATCATCTGGAGTTCGGAGACAGTGTTTTCAACAGCTTCAACTGAAAGCGAGTATCAAGATATAATGTCGGTTTTGAGTTAGGCATAAAATTTCACCCTGAATTTGGTCAGAAGAAAGCCATCCTATGTAAATAATGTATTTAACAGATGTTCAGATGATGGCCATTCCACGTTTGAGTGTATCCCAAGACCATTCTTTGTAATTAGTTTTAAGAAACCTCGAGTATATCTTATGTGATAGGTACAGATAGGCATCAGAAGTATTTTGGATAGGTACATATACTTCTCCTTTTCACTTCGTCCTTAATTCAACAAGGAGTTATGCAGTCTTGAACATATCACTGCATCGCATTAACCAAGTATAATAATGATATTACCAAAGATCCAATAATAATAATATTCTTGAATTTCCGGAAATAAATTCAATGACAAGCAGTCACAAGTGGCAGCTAATAGAACTGGCAACATTTCGTTGTTCGTAAACAAACCGTAAGTCTGAGATGAGTATAATATGACCCATATATCAATGCACATACTTTGTTGAGAAATTTGGTATGAAACCATAGGATCGCGCGTTCTAGTTGTGAAATATAAAGATTATGAGTTCTGTGCTTCGAACTCGAATATCTTTGTAATCGTTTGAAATGACCCGATCAAACCTGGTATTGTTGAATTCGTTGTAATAATCTCTAATCGATTTTGGAATAAAATACAGGGTTTTCCATTTGAAATTCGAAAGTAGGTCATTTCCAGGAAAACCGTATTAAAAGAAATCCTAAAATGTGAGATAGTGTCCTCTAGTGAGCATATTTGATAATCCAAATTTCAAAAATATAGCTAGATAACAAAGGAGAAAAGGAGACCGTGAGTCACCTGGTATATCCATAATATGCCTAACATTAGGCAGATTAACAACATTGAACTGTTATGTGCACTTTCAAGTGGAAGACTTATTCGTTCACAACGCAGTAAAACTGTATAATGACCTACCTCATTTTCTTTGCAATAATTATAGTCACAATACTTATTCCATACACATCGAGTTGTTTCATTCTGGTGTATTGTTGTTTCTGATTTATTTCAAACAAGTTTCATCAATGTACTGTGCACCACCTGTATGTACCATTGTAAAATGCTGCTGAATAATTCGGCTCTGATTCTTTGATTGGCCGAATTTCCATTATGACTTAAATATTGTTTTGTTATGCAATGCAGTTATATTGAATGTGCTAAGCGGCCATGTACCACTTTTTGCGTTCATCCGAAGGTTTCATGTTTGATTTTTGTCTTATTCTGTTCTAGGTTTTGGTAGTGACTCTGGATTTTCCTCGGATATTTGTGCCGACCTCAAAAGCAACGCAACAACTCCAAAAGAAAAGTTTCCTGCCGAGAAATTTCGTCCCACTTGCACTTTAGACGAATCCGACTGTGCTAAACTAACCCGTACAAAGTGGACTGCATCTTTTCGGAAGTTGATGCGCCGACTCAAAAAATAGAAATGAGTTAGTGAAGGCTTCACCAGTTTGACGACTCGAATATTCTATCAGACTTGACTCCCCCAATCGACAGTATTGTAGAAACATTTTTCCAACACATTTTTCAAAAGAATTCAATTTTTTTTGTTCAAGTTCATACCAGCACAAATTATTTTTTTCTCTTATGATTATTTAGATTTCGAGTATTGACAGTACAAAAGTATATACATATTTTATATATATATAGTGAAAGGGTAGACTCCTGACTGGACTAGTTGAAGAAAACTATGTGTTAGGAAAACAGCTAAAATCTCTATTTTCCTTGAGGTTGCAGTCAACCACTCAAGTTAGTAAGTTTTTTCATTTTTTATATAAGATACCATACTTATAATGGTCTTTGTATTTTCAGATGTCTTGATAATGAAAATAAAATTTTTCGAAAGCTCGACAATTTAACAAACAGTCTTTTCTCTACATTGGCCATTCCCTTTGACTGCAACCTCAAGGAAAATAGAGATTTTAGCTGATTTAGAGATTTTAGCTGATTTTAGCTGTCCTAACACATAGTTTTCTTCATATATATATATATATTTATTATTTATATCATATCGGTAGATTTTGAGACATGTAATGATTATGGAAGATTGAAATTTCTATGTTAATCTTAATTTTTGACATATGCCAGATTTCATATAAAAAGTTGTTGAATTTTAAACGTTTAAAAAAAATTCATTATTCGGTAATAAGATCACTTTTAATGTTTGTTCTAAGGGACGAATAGTTTTAGAATAATTTCGTTTGATAATTTCCGTCATGATTGAATTAAGAAACAAAATTTGGCTATATATAGGTAATATGCTGAGTGGATTATTGCATATTGATTTTCTTTGATTCTGATCAAATTCAACATTTTAGCAGGAATAGTGCAAATCTGACATTGGCACTTTTTCAATTCATCAAAATATTGTTGAACTGTTAACCCTCTTCTGAAAATTGTTCTTCTCAGTTTATTTCGTAGACTTAATCAATTTTCTCAATATTTACAAGACTTCTTATTCAAAAATCGTTCAATAAAATCTATTCCTGATGTTTACCTTGCAGAACATATCGTCCAGGTCATTCCAGGCGAATTATTTGTTCAATGCCCTTAAATTAAAAGTCAAATTTTTTGTTTCTCATAACTTCCTATGAAAACCTGATATTAAGTAACAATCCATAACTCCACTGTGTAAATAACAAAACAATTCATAATAAATTCATTATAGAATGAATTTGGAGAAACTTAGAATATACGGGGTGTCTCCTAATTAAATATCAATATCTGAGGAGGCGATTCTTGTGCCCATTTCAAGAAACAATGTCATATGAACCTATGACCTAAATCTCTTAACTTCGTAAGTACAGGGCGGTAAAGATCCCAATAATAAATAGAGTTTTCATTAATATCTGTGCTACCACTTCAGATATTCTATAGAAATTTTGCATACATGTACTATGTATTTTTTGTTGTTGCCACCAGAGGCGTTCGTATGGAATGTCACATACTTATTTTGGCTGGCATTGATGATACGCCATTGATTAATCTCGAAATTGAAATCATTCCTGAAATTCTCATTTCTCATCATTTTTAAGCAAATTTGATCTCTAACATTTTTTTCAATCTGATTCACGGTTTTTGCTTAAAAAACTTGAAAACCTTTTCACTGCATGATCATAACAATCTCGTTAATATGACAATATCACAATACAGAGATCAAATTTCAGGAATATAATTCATAGTTTATGATCTCTTGAATTGTTTCGATCCGAATCATGGTTTTCACCTAAAAAATAAAATCTATTTCTCTGCATTGTGATATTGTCTTATTAACGATATTATTATGATCATGCAGTGAAAAGGTTTAATTTTTTCAAGCAAAAACCGTGCATCAGATTGAAGAGAATTTTAGTGATCAAATTTGCTTAGGAATAATTGAAAATTTCAGTAATGATCTCAATTTCGAAATTGATCAGTGGCGTACCATCAATGTCTGCCAAAATAGGTATGCGAAATTCCATACTAACGCCACTGGTGACGAGACAACAAAATTTGGTACACCAACTGATGCCTGTTGATACATAGTACATATTAAAACAATTTATTTTTGAAAACTTCACCACCCTGTATCTCAAAAGTTTAGGTCATACGTTCATATGACATTTTCTTCTCAAAATGGCCCAAGAATCACCTCCTCAAATATTTACATTCAATTAGGAAACACCCTGCATACTCCCAATAAAGATACAATGCCAAAATGTAGTTTGAAATATCTGGATTTAGATCACCATAAGGATATCTCATTATGGGTAGGTAGTGAGTAAAATTCGTTGATACAATATACGAATATTTTGGCTCTCACATACTATGGAAAGACTGCTGGAAATGTATAATTTGAAGACTTGATTCTTGAATTTAAATATTTGGTCCACATAGTTAACACGTTTATAGTGAAAATTCTGATGATCTTAGCATGTTATAAGTGTTAGAATCACCTTGAAATGTCTTGAATGCATTTTTAATATCATTGATCTTATAGTTTTGTGAGAATATAGGTGAATGGTTAATTGTGAATTTATTGTTGAATGGTTCAGATCTATAGATATACAAAAAAACTATTATATTGTCGATATTCTTCTCAGGATTTTTCCTGAATTGAAGACTAATATTATATTCATTCGTTTTTCATCAGAGAATTTTATGAAATGAATACTTACCTTTGAAGATTACTGTTTTTTATCACTTATTATGTATATTGATATTATTTATTCTTGAATATTTATCAAATTATCAATGGAAAGAGATTGCACGAAGGGTTAGATGTAGATTTAAAATATTATGTTCATTATACAACTTTGGTAATCCTATAATTGAAATTGTATGCTTCTTGCCTAAGTTATTTGATCGTCATTACATACAGAATTTTTCATTAGGAAACAAAAAACTAACAACAATAGATAGATGTCACTGAGGTGGTTATGAATATACCATACATTTTATCTTTTCTTCCTTTTTGCCGAAACCGTCCGGAAAATGCTCACTTCCCGGACTCTTTTTGTTTGAGAAAGTAGCATTTTTCTGGTATAGTCCAGGAAGTATCACGTCTTTGTTGTGACTGTAACAATAAAATCTTGGTTGATATGGTTTTGATAAATGCAGATGATCATAACCATAGCAGTGAAATAAGGGCTGACAGTTATTTGACATGAAATCAGTTGACATTTTGATTTTTGAAAGTGATGGTTCTTGGTTGCAATTATCGCAATAAACTATCGAAAGCAGCAGCAATAGTTAGTTAGAAATAACCCTATGAAATTTCCTTTTTAGCTGTTAGTAGGTATGGGTATTCTCTTCAAATTTCAGTATTTGATTCTAATAAGAATTGAAATGATCGAAACTTCATTCTACAAAGAAATATAATATAGGAATGTGTCTCATTGAATTGTTATTCTACATTATTGCCGAAAAAATAGTCCATGCAAGACGTCCAAAACAGTTGTCTTAGGACTCATCTACGGCTTGGCCTAGAATGTTGTCTACTCGTCCCAAAAAAAAAACCGTATTTTCCGGACTTGTTATGTAAATTTCTATCTTGAAAAATTCAAATTTTGAACTTTATTTTTGAAGGGATCGTATTCTACAGGCCTATCAAGTAGGCAATCACACAAAAATGTAATAATTTTTTTGTCAATCCCGATTTCAACATTCCTCTGACTAGTACCTACTATAGTCGCTGGTGTGGTAGAAGAACATGTTCAGCGGATAAGAGAGAAAATGTGGGTGATTCGTCAGTTATTACTCTATGATAAATGACAATAATTCATGGGATATTCAGACTCACTTTTGGGACTTCTTCTTTTGACGTATTTTGTTTGCTAATGAAACCCTGGTTAAATAAAACGATCAAGCGGTTAGGATTGAGTTTTCATCATCTTTATATTCTATACCTTTTATCTTTTACTCATAACGTGCCCCACTTCAGTATTATTTTATTATGTTTTGATTACCACTTGGTGGCAGCCATTTTTATCTAGTATTTTTACTTTTTACACACTATACATTCCTGAAGAATACACCAGATAAGTATGTAGAGTTTGGTATCTCAATATCAACCAAATATATATTTTATTAAATATGGTTTTGGTTCCAATGACTAAATATTCAACTTGAGCTGAGCAGAGCATAATGTTGCTCTGTAAATAAATCGATTTGTTTATGAAGAATATCTCTGGACAGTTTTTGAAAGAATTCTAGCACGAATTAGTAAGACCTGAATAATTGAATCAGTAACACAGTAACGCAACGTATCCCAAGTATTTTGAAGGCGATAGAAGAATAAATATATGATGTTTTCACTCAGAATCTATAGTATAACGTAACGCAAAGTAGGACACTCCATGGATACTGGTGAAATCGTCCTATATTTTGAATTTTATCGTTTTGTTTTCCGAAAAACATCCGTTAGGTCGCGTTAATGGATCAATAAATCAGGGGTCAAATAGGATAATTCAACTAAATAAATACTATCAAAATATGTTGTTAGGTTATCAGGGCAGTGTCGGCTCGTAACTTTTATAGCAAAGGTGGTTTATGATATAAAATACATCATGAAAGAACCTCCAACAGTTATTTGGAAATAGAGCATGTAGATGCATCTGAAAGTATAGCGCCCAAAGTGGCTATGTAACAAAAAAGTGCCCGGAAAAATAAGGCGCAAAAAAGGAGCGCGTCAAATATAGTGCTTCTACAGAATGACGCTTCTTCGTGGCTAGGTTAAATTGTTCGTGACTATAGTTTTCTATATAATAATTGCAACGAGAAATATCGGCAATAAAAAAAGGAGAGCAGCGTTGTCTTGTCGCGCGCCAATTTGTTTTGTTTTGTCACATAGTCGCCCAAGGCCCAGTTTTAGTAGGTAATGTACTTTGGATAGATTTTTTTTCGTAAATAAAGTCCACCCTGAATAAGTGTTTGACCAATAATT